AAAAAACTCCTTACATTGCTAAAATTCTATGGCTAAAAGCAGTTAACATGCATGTCTATCATGTTCTAGATCTATATTAAAAAGTTTTTAGTTCATTGCTTTTAACAAATCAGAGCTTATATATTAATATAATTATTTTTAAAACATTTTCTCTGTCCCTTCATCCCTTTAAAGCAGTCTGAATTACTCTATGCTTTCTGAAATGTCCTAATATATGAAACATGTTATTCTAATTAAATCATTCAAGTTGTTTAAGGATCATCATTAGTTTTTTCAAGCAACATTTAACATTCCAATGAAATTTGTTCTCTGCATCTGACACATCAATTACAAAGCAGTGGGCCACTACCATTACCGGGCTGAGGGACTTGCTAGAGCAGCAACCTCTGGGATTTAAACCAGAAAACCTGAGCCCAATTACCCCTAAACTCAAAAATCTTTAAACTTAATAAATTTTTGAAAAATGTTAAAATGTATTCAAATTTTTCTAAATAAATAAAAGAAATAAACAGAATCTCTCTTGAGTGACATTAGAAAAACAACAAACAAAAAAACAAAACAAAAAAAATGTAGTTTTACATTTGGTTTGTCAAACAAAATATGAAATTTACCATGGAGCCAATGCGAGGAGGAGTGAAAGGTGGGAAAAAGTTTGCGAAATTCCTCTTCTCTGCTGCTTCCTCGTCTATTTTACTCTGATTGCCAGCTCCTTTTTTCATCTAAAAATATCCAAGGGCAACAATAGTGAGACTTATCCTACTCCAACTTATAGGTTTAAAAAATATCAAAGTGAAACGAATAATCAAGTTTTTCACATTACCATTCATTAGCACTGATAGACCACAACACAACAACATGGAAAGGCCAACAGAACAGAAAAAACCACGTAGGAATAAATGGGTTAGCTTTGCAGAGAACACAATAAAACACTGGCGAAAGCCGTAAATTCATATTTATGGTGAAGTAGAAAATGTTTTATAATAAGGCTTGATTGAAAGAAACTTAAAGCAAGTAAAAAAAAAAAAACATCTTATTTTGTCAACCCTCGCTAGAGAGGATTTATTTCTGCAAACCAAGGTAAAAATATATTTTCTAAATTTACATTCAATTGCAATCACAAGAAATACTACCTTAATGCTTCTTGGAATTTATGCTGAAAAGGCATTTGATAGAGTAGACTGGCTATACCTCCAGAAGACCTAAAAATACATAGGATTTAGTGTAGGAATTAATATAGGAAGGGGAATATGTTACGGTGATGTTTTTTCGCCATTTTTATTTGCACTTAGCTCTGAACCTCTGGAAAAGATTAAATTCTCAGATCAAAGGATAACGGACCAGCGTGGACATATTCATATAGTTGCATTATTTGCAGATGACATCTTATTTTTGTCAGATCTCTTTGCTTCTATCCTGGTCTTGATGCTAGCCCTCTGGTCTTATGTCGAAATACTTGCCTATAAAAAAACTCAAAATGAGTCTGAGGCAATGATGCTGACTGGAAACTGGCCTGTAGAATTGAATATAATCTCACACCTTTAATTAGCCACAGTAGGTTTTAAATATCTGGGTGTTACTATCACGCCAAAGAATGCAAATTTATTTAAGGCAAATTATAGGAAAAATTCATAACTAAATTAAAAGTGGACTTTGCCAGATGGGATATTTTAACCCTGAGATTGATTGGTGAGGTTTAAGTCAAAAAGAATCTATGTGCTTCCCAGATTCCCTTTCCTTTTTCAATCTTTACCTAGCAAAGTACCAAATAAAACCTTTAAAACAGTAGATCTAGATACAGTTTATATAGAAGCTAATGCTGTTTCTGTTATGGAGATCCCGGTCATCAGAACCAAAACTTTAAAAGACGCAAACCCTGCTGAAGTTTGAATCATCTCTTACTTGTGTCCCCCTCTCTCCTCCTCGGTCTCCCTTGCTTTCATCCCTCCTGCTTCTTTTCCAGTCCGATTTACTGCTGCCTGGGTTGAACCTCAAGCTGTAGCCCTGCAGGACCAACAAACAGTTTGTAAATGTTTTGTAACTAATCCTTGTTATAGAAAATCAGACATATACAAGCTTAGAACTTGGCGATAAACCAGATTTTTACTGTTACCGTCATTCACCACTTTAACAGGAGACAATTTTCGCATGTGGGTAAAATAAATAAACTTAATGCTGCTGTTTTGTCTGTGTTGGAAGGTGGCTGGTATTTCCTTCCCCATTACGACACGGCAGTGTGTCTAATAACGTGACTCCACCGATCCAGTCAGATGCATAAACCAAGAGAATGGTGGATGAGACTAGTGAAGAAGTGCTAAAGGCCAATTTTTGCTTCTGACACATAGCCTAACATAAATCAGTTGCATTGCATTTCCTGCACATGCCTTTATTTTAGATAGACAAGTCAGAGCATTTATTGTTATCGAGATAAAACTGCCAATTTATTATGATATTTATTTGAGGTCCTATTGCACAGCCCTAAGTAAGATAAAGCGCAAAAGATATTATACAGAGAAACCCCCAGTTACCTGGAAATTCTGTATGTTTGACTGTAAAATGTCCTTCAACATGAACTTTAATGTTTTAAATAACCTCCCCCCCCCAATATCATCTTAACCTTGGTTGCACCAGCTGCTCTGCACGGCCCATGAAGCTCGTTGGGATGCAACAGGCTGCTGACATCCATTTCCTCCTCGTTGTTGTATTCATCGTAGCGAACACGGCAGCGCTGATCCTTAATCCACAGAATCACAGCAGGATAAACCAATCCGTCTTCTGAATAAACTGCCCGGCAGCGGGAACCAGGCTTCCAGTTCTGAAATACAAACCAGAATTTTGAACATATCGAAATATTTATACATTAAAACCTGGAATGCAAGTCATGGATTAATTCATTCATCTAAAGTTGACTGATCTTATCGATGAACAGAAAATTAACTGATAATCAGACATTTTCTAAAAAAAAAAACAGAGTTTTAACTTGTTTCAAGTGGATATTTCCATAACACGAAGGGCTAAACATTTTTAACAACATGCAGAGTTAAGAAAAAAAAAAAAAGTACAGTATTATATTTTAGCAATTTATTGTGCCAGCTGTATTGAATAATTGGAAAAAAAAATCTTACATCAAGAAAAGTTATTACAAAATATAAAAATATACTTTTTTATAACTTAAGTCACCAATTTAAAATGGATAAAAATGCGCAAAATTTAGAGTGGATGTCAGGATTTTAGCGGTGAATATTTCATAGGGTGTAACCCTTGGTGTATTACATCTTTAGGCTTTGCGTGGCGTCCGGGGGTATCTTCTCTGAAGCGCCATTTTCTGCATTTTGAGGTGGTATGCAGCTAACCTTTTTATCTTTGTTACAACACTACTATTGTCCTGATTATGGGAAGCATGTGCACATGACTAGAGGTGGAAACCTCATAGGAAGACCTGAGATCATTTTATGTACAATCTTATGTTTCATAGGTTAATTCAAACAATCAGAAAGTGTAATGGTACATTCAAACCACTATTTGAGCCACAAAAAAAGTGCCTGTTTCTTCATTTTTGATGCTTGTACAGATTAAGGCCAGACGCGCTTTGCTATATTTGTTGTGATAAGCTGATTAAGCTGGTTTTAATATATTTTTATGCGAGAATGTCTACCTGAAAACATCGCCTGTGCAGTTAGTTCATCAAGATTACAATCCTGCCTTAAAATATTATTTCGCTCAAAGACCCCCACATAGCAAAAGTGCGTCGTCACTGGGAATCCCCAACAGCTGCCTCAGGCCTGATAGCCTCGTGGGGGACTTTCCGCTACTGCTCTTGGAGACTGGAAGTAGATGCTGGTGTTCTTCTGGTATATGGTACAAACTGTAGGCACCAGAATAACAAAAGCGAATATAATTTGCTTTAAGTTTTCAACATTTCAGAGGAGTGACAATAGTGCTCTGCTTCAGCAGTGCTGTCCGTCTCCCTGCCATCTCCCAGATCAGCTTCTCTGATAGGTTGATGTGGCACATCGAGCAACAACTGTTCCGTTTTTTTCCCTAACTCCAGCATCTGCCGCTTGTGAAATTTTTAACATTTTCGCCAAGTTTCCGGGAGAAAAACAGGGAATACAAGTTTTATTTTTTCAGTACACATTGCTAGCTGAAAGCGTGGTGGTCGTTAATGTATCTCATATGTGCGGAGTTACCCGTTTGACCATGACTTAAGCTCCAAATCACACTTTCATCTGTTGTCGTAACACATAGCCATTTGGGCATTTGATCCAAGGGAAACACGTGACCGTCCCGAAAAGTATTTGATTCAATATTAAATAAATGCATACAAGTGCACAGAAAGATGATTCCAAATATTGATACAAGAAACTGCTGACTAATCGAGAAAAAAGTTAAAAATAAAAGTGTAGAAATAGACATACTTTGGACTAGGTCCGTTTAAAATGTCTCTTTTATTTATCAATCTATTGAAATTATATATTTAGCAGAAACACTAGATCACTGATAGGACATAGAAAAAAACAACAAGAAATACATCTTTTAAATAGTTCAAGAATAAAAGAGAAGATATTTCACTCTATGTGGAAAGAATCTACATACTTGTTTCAAATTCTGAAATGTTTAACAAATTGTAAACATTTTTAGAAAACATTTTTCTTTTTGGATGTCTACGATTTCCAGACTTTCAAAGAAGAAATTAGAATCACTGTGAAATCAGACCTTCATGATTAACTGTGTCTCAAATGAAGGGTGTTTTCTTACAATCATTACCTTTGCTTCTGCAGTGGTGGAATCATCCTTTATAGGAGGACAGGCTGTCTGAATGTCCAGCTCCACTTCCTCCTGCTTCTCTTCTCTTTCTGTCTCCACCAGAGCTTCAGCTTCTATAGGCTGCTCCTTTAAGGATTATTTTTTTCAAAATTACCAATAAAGTTTGGCAAAATAAAAGCGCCTCCCTCCCAAATTATCCTTATATGTAAATATATTTATAGTTTGGTTTAGCCCAAGCCTAACAGAAACAATACAAACAGTAATGACCATGGTCCCATCCTGCTTTGCTGGGTACACTCTCTTGATCTAAATCAAAAGCTTTTAATAGCTTTCATTGAGGGATGATGAGAACAGCAAAGTTATCTTGAAGACTATTTAATGAAGCATCCTGGGCTTCAGTAATTCAGTAGGTTGATCTCCTCCAGGCCAAACTGTGCTACACTAATGTATGCAAAAAAAAAAAAACTTCCAGCGGTTAAACGTGTTAACAGAAGAAAAAAAACCCATTTAGGATCTTACATGTTTTTAAACTACTTTTGTTACGGCTTTAGTGTGTAAAAAGCCAAGAGCAGAGCCAAACCTCCAATGTTTCAAGATCTCCCCCCGGCCTCACGTCAGTGTCAGTCACCGCCTCCAGGAAAGGAACCTGTACAAACAGAGAGAAAATCCGCTAGCAGCCGTTTTCGACATCTAAGAACTCCCAAAACACCTGAAGTTAAGCACCTAAACAAAGCAGCAACATTAAAACTAAAAAAAAAAAAAAAGATTATCTCATAAACGGTCGCCATGTTTTTTTTCTTGTTAACTGCTCAGCTGTATGCTAGCTTCTCGGCTAAATATAGAGCGCTTACAGTTCAACACTTTCGGTTATTTGTCGGCTTCTAATGTTTCAAGTTTTTGTCTTAATATGTTGAATTGAGTTAAAAATGCGGACCGATTCGATATCATCGTGAGGAACGCAGCTTTCTGTCATGGCGGCCATTCGTCAGAACCAAACAATCGTCACCTCGGTTTGTAGACCTTCTTCTTCGTCTCCTCTCTTCTTTGTGGAATTTTATTTGGCAGTTGGTAAACAACGGTTTGCATTACCGCCAACACTTATTTGTGCAGAAGAGTACGGAAGATGATTAGGGCCACTGGAAAAAAAAAGAGTTAACTGATTTTTAAACATTATTTCAGTTTAATATGGGAAAAAAGTCAGAATTCTGATTTTAATCTCAGAATTCTGACTTTTTTCCCCTCAGAATTCTGACTTTAATCTCAGAGTTCTGACTTTAATCTAAGATTTCTGACTTTTTTCTCAGAATTCTGACTTTAATCTAAGAGTTCTGACTTTAATCTAAGATTTCTGACTTTTTTCTCAGAATTCTGAC